GGGGGCTTCTTTTGCTAAAGCCCCGCCAGTTTTTACTTATCGATTCTAGGAAGTGTCAATCATTGTCAACAAAACTGAACCGCGTATGCAAATTAGGCGGGTCAACATCTAAGCCGTCTTCACACATGACACGTTTTCTCATTTCTTTTTACATCTCTTTGGAAGGCGGCTTGCGTCTGTCGAATACATTGTGTGTCTCGCGGGATAAAGTTCTCTCCCATTTTGAGATAATATTTGAAGATAATAATGATTAATAGATAGCATTTGTAAAGCGCAAATCGCGGCTTAACAGCAAGCTCCATGCGCTTTACAATCTGTACAGTTACCCCAGCTAGCAGACCTGAGAGCATTCTGAAACAAACTCAACTTCCTGGAAAGCATACAGATAAAAGATAGTGTGGACTTACTTAATGAACTGATTTTTAAGTCAGAACGATTTACAGATGGTCCTGTAGGCAACCTTTGTGACTTGTATTATTACTAATGAAAACACATGGGTGCGGTAGTCAGTGTTGACATAATTATAATATTACTTCTGGAGGCAGATATGACTTTGTGTCGGATGCAAAGACTAGTTGAAAGATCCAGTACTACAATACGCCATAATAATATTAAATTATTATGACCTTATATTCACCAGCAATGTGTTTTTCTTATAAATCGTTCTGGTTTTAGCTTCGTTTTTAGTAAATTAATGTTTTACGGCATTTGCAACGCAAACAGGTCAAATAAGTGCCAAGGATTAGACTTAGATGTGTTGCTAGAGAGTAACATAAAGAAAAGGAGGAGGAAAGATAAGAACGATATAAATATGTCTGCTAGGTAAAATAAGGCGCAAACCGCACCAGAGCACCCGCCAGCCGCCAGCCACCAATTGCGTTTTGGCCCAAACTACGAAATCAGCCATCATGAAGCATCATACATACTGAAATTGTATTGATGACAGTTGAACATTGGGAGAACAGTTATGTCTTCTGTTAAGTCAAGAGTTACTAGAGTCACTATTGACGATTATCCACTATACACTATGCATTTGTGAGGCAGCGTGGTGGAATCAGGCTCTCGTCAATTTTTGAGCATGTAGAGTTATTGGTATCATCTTAAAGCTTGTTCACTTGCCTTTATTTTGTTGAAAAAAATATATATTTATCTTAAATACAAGTCGAGATATTTGTGAATGAAGGAGGTGGGGGTCACCTGTTTTCAGAGGTAAAATTAGTGAGAAAATGGCAGCCAAAGATTAGTTATTTCCTTAGCTTAAGAGTCCGTCGTAACTGAAAATTTACATTTTTGTGTGCCTTTAATCAACGTTTTAAAGAAAAATCCACACAGAAATGCGTTCTTTAATGGGCATAAAAGGTGCTGAGCCAAAAAATAACATTTTGATAAAAATTCACAGACTTGCAGAAAAATGCAAGTTTCTTCACTTTGATTATTTTGACGAGAGCCTGATTCCACCACGCTGCCTCACATTTACGTTTCGGGGGATACAAAGTCGGAGGCTAAATTTAAAATTAATTCCAAAACGTTGCTTATGAAACTGTGCCGTAGTAATCGAGTCCGAACCTTAAATTATTACTTTCTACTGATGTGACTGCTTCCGGGGAGTCCATGATTGCTTCCAGTGGACTCGACCATTTGACTTTGACTTGATTTCTTCTTCCGTTGAGTCTGGCTGGGCCCTAGATAATTGATTGCTTGACTACTTCCAACGGCGAGGAGTGATAACGTCATCTGTGAGTCCACCATCTAGCCAGTTACCGGGTTATCTAATCAGCTTTGAACTGCTTAAGGTTCAGGATAACCTCAGTTTTTGGAACACGACGAGGCACCTACGAGTTTTGTTGTTGTTGTTTTTTATATGGGTTTTTTGTTGTTGTTGTTGTTGTTGTTGTTGTTGTTGTTGTTGTTGTTGTTTTGTTTTGTTGTTGGGGTTTTTTTTTGGTTGGGTTTTTTTTGGGGGGTAGGGTGGGGGTGTTTTTTAAGAAGTAAGTTCTTCAACAACAACAAATAGTTGATACAGTAATCAGTAACCGTGGGTATACTTAAACCTAAATAGGAATCAGCACCTTTTTCCGTTGCACTAACAGCAGGAATCGGTCCCAGAATTGATTCTTTGCCCAGCCCTACATGTACAATCATCCACGCTAAGTCACAGATAAAGCCGATGTATCGGAGCGTCCTGTGTTACCGTAGACTAGATCTAGTGCCCATTGGGAGGTTGGGTCGGGTCGGGTCGGGTCAGGTTGGGGTGGTTTGCTAGCCCAGGTTGTGGGCGCAAAGCGCTATCCTGGCACAAGCCAATCGCACCCGACTCGTCTCCTCTAAACTAAACGCTTTTGTTTTCAGGCGATGAGTGGGGCGGTCGCCCCCGACCCGACCC